CAACTATAAAAAATCAGTTCATCATGCAAGAAAAGTGTGCAAATAATTTATACAGAAGGACTCAACTCACACAATATTAAATAAACATCTTTGCATGTAATTGGTCTAACCTTATACTTTTAGTTACAATGTTCAACCCTCTCTAATATTTTTCATTTTAAAAAAGTACATTAAAGCTTCTAAGCTTAGGACATAAACTGTTATACACACCCCTGTTAGACAGGGTGATTGGCACTTAGTAGAATAAAAGACGGCGCCAAGGGTTCCCAAGTGTAGAGCTTGGAGCCTTCTGTTTAACAGACTTGTGCATTGTTAATTAAACAAACATATCTACACTCAAAGACAGAAAAAGTCATGTTCAAACTCCACAGGTAATGTTGTAGGAGATGGAGTTTCAAGAAGTTCAGAATTTTGGAGCAGCCATCCATTTGGAGCCGTATGGAGCAGGGCCTAAGGTTTGAGAGATTTTTCAGGAAGTTCTGCTTGCTGAGTGAGTTCAAGGACACTTTGAAAAATTCCCAGCGACAAAGTCAAGAACATCATGGTCCCTTGCTCCTTGCTGCCTCATGGAATAATCCCTCTTTGCTTAGTGAACATGAGGTTTGGCAGAGAGTGAACTTCCACTGGGACAGAAACTCACTGCATCTCACACTGGAGTACTGGAGGAGGGGGACATGGAGAGGATGGACTCAATGTACCTCTCCATCTAAGGGGAGGAAACACCTGCTTGGTTACCATCAGAACCTCTTCTAGAAAGCACGCCACTGCTCAGCCATTATCTATTTTTATAAGGGCTGTCTTTGTAATTAAAATGGAAGTATCCAAGGAAAAGGTGAATTTGTCAAAACATGCTATTTACTTTACAGCAAGCAGGCTGTACTCACTAGAATGTCTTACTCATGACAGAGCAGAGGTCTGTAAAAGTGTTGAGTGGCTCCTTAACTTTTCCAGTAAGAATCAGGGACTTAAAATGTTTGGAAAAGTTAACGGCCACATGCCCAACACTGGGCAGTCTCCTGTGCCTTCCACAGTGAAGGTCTTGAGAAGAATCAAGTCAGAGGTCACGGGTGTCCAGCTACACCAAAGGGTGCTTGGGGTGGGGCGCAGGGGTGCACATGGTCAGGCCTCAGAAAGCCCCAGGGTTATGCTCAGCTTTGCCACTGAGTACCAGGTGGGCTGAGGCAAGTCTCTTAAATATTCTGGACCCACTTCCTCATCTTGAAAGGCAGAAGGAGTGTCAGACTTCACCACTAATGTCCCTTCCAGGTCTAAAGTCTTGTTTAGGAGTTTCCTCCCTTTGAAAAACCACAGCGTCTACAGAAAGCAGCAAATTTAAAGGAACTATGACCTTGTTTGTTGAAGCTATCAAGGACCCAAGATACATCAAAGGGCAACATCTCTGCATTTGCCTAGAGGTTCAGGGTGTTTCTGAGGTCTGTTTAAGCGCTAATAGGATTTTAGGCCAGCATCCAGTCAGAAGAGATGGTTCACAGACTCAGATAGTTGGAAACAGATAAAAAAACAACAGATGTCAACATAGAAAATGATGATAGAGTTTAGTTAAAAAAAATTCACACATAAAATTACAGTTAAAAAATTCACACATAAAATAGAGTGTTTGCATAGCAAAACATCATTGCCCTACAGCCTGGCAGAAAAATATAAACTCAGGTGCATATTTTATAATAAACATTGTGTTGAATGCTAAGAATGATACACTGTTGAACTTCTCTGGAAATGACTTACTTCCTTTTAAATCACACCACTTGCTTAGACAAATGAAACTCCAAGCTCTTTCTCTTTTCCCATATACAAACAACAGAAACAAGGAAGCTCTGTTAACAGCAAGCTCCTCATAGGAAAGGGTTTGTGAGTTCACAAAAATGAGAACTGTGGCAATAACACAACACACACCCACTACCTCGCTTCACAAGCAAGGACAACTTGCTCTTGTGTTGAAGTTTTGCAGTGTAAACCCAGTCCATCTAAAATATCTCCTCTACGTCACTTTGATATAAAATTGATCATCACTAAACAACTATCACACAACTGACACCTTGTAACTTTTGTTTGTTTCTGCCACCCTCCCTCCCATTCAGCTGACTCATCTGCTCAAAGTACCAGCGTTGAGTGATAGTGCAATCTAGTCTAAAATGTCCTTGGGCTCTTTTCTGGATCTTTCTATAAAGTGAGCACTCCTAAACTTCACGTACTCTCCTTTTCCCAAATGCTGGGCCTTACTCTCAAGAGACTCAAGGTTTACTGCCCATAAACCTTTGAGTTGGACCAAATCATAACTGCCCTGGACAGAACTCTTTCCTTCTCTAGAAGTCTGAATTACTTCATATTTGACATCAGTTTTGAATTCTCCTCTACAGGGTTTAGAGAGGGGGTAGGTAGATACAGCAAAGAGAGTAGAGCATTCTATCTCTTCCAGCAATTTCCATTGTCAGGCCCCTTCTGGCTTCTAGACCAGCAGCTCTGAAACAGGGATTCTCCATGCTTTTGTTTTATAGGTCAAGTTGACCTGGGAGGGTTTGCCAATAGAAATTCCATAGGCTATTAGTGCCCAGAGAACAAGGATTTTCTTTTTAACTTATTTTACTTATATGTGAGGCTCTGGCCATGCCTGACAGATACCACATGACACTAACACAGATCCTTTTGCCTGCTGTGCTCTTCCCATTGTCCCCACGCAAACCCCGCCATCAAAGACATGCCATTTCTATTCCTTTCTCTCTCCCTCTCCACCTGCCATTTCCTTCCTTATTCTCCTCTTCCAATGAAAGAAAATCATAAATGTTGGTTTCTTTTTTTTCCCTTAAAAAATTTCCTCAACTCTGTCAAGCACCGCCTCCAGTAACACCAAAGGACATGGGGGGAGCCCATGGGTGCCATCTTGGTAACCATTTCAGAAAACTATCACCCCCTCACTTGGGGTAGGGTCACCTTGCACAGATGCATGACGTTGCCTGGGGTGTGATGTGGAATCGCCTGCACTGCTGATGGTCTAAATGAGGCTGGTTTGCTCGTTTTGTGCTAATAGCGCAAATCAGGCAGTATTTCTGGAATCGCAAACCTCAGGTACCAAGGAGTTTCTACCTCTTCGATCAGCACCAAGGGGCAGAGGTCACGAGTTGGTGGGAAGACCATGAACCCCTAAATCTAAAAAGGTCACTTGGAGCCAAAGGTTCCAGAGCTCTCATAGCAATGGCAGACCCAGCTCTACCCCACATCTTTTTTTCTTCTTTTTTATAAAGATGACTGGTAAGGGGATCTTAACCCTTGACTTGGTGTTGTCAGCACCACGCTCTCCCAAGTGAGCGAACCGGCCATCCCTATATAGGGATCCAAACCGGTGGCCTTGGTGTAATCAGCACCACATTCTCCTAAGTGAGCCATGGGCCGGCCATCTACCCACATCTTTAAGGAAGCTGAGAAATTTGAGAGAACCTAACAATTATGGAAGAAGTAGCTTTTTATTCAATGGTCTAAACTCTGCATTCTCAATGTGAAGTTGCTTCAGGGGGAGAAGGAGATTGCAAAATAATAATAATAATAGCAACTTTGGTTTTTGGCCCTTCAAAGCTCAACCTTACCCAACAAAATCTTATTTATTATTATTATTATTTTTTTTTTTTTTGGTCTTTTTGTCTTTTTCCGTGTCCGGCAACGGATCGCAACCCTCAGTGTTGCCCCCGTACCGGACCGGGGACCGGCAACGGGATCGCAACCCTCGGCGTTGCTCCCGCGCCTCGCTCAGCCAGTGAGCGGGAACCGGTCTGTATGTGGGATCCGAACCCTTGGTCGGGAGCACCACCGCGCTCCCAAGCGGCGCACTATCCAGTGCGCCACCGGGCCGGCCCAAATCTTATTTATTATAATTTGTAATTTTTCTCAGTAGGAAAAATTTAAATTCAATTCAATTTTTTCTTTGAGGGATGATTTAAAAATATTGAGAAATCCTGGTGTAGGCACAAACATGGCACAGTGAGGAGCTTTGAATGATAATTTCTCTTCAGAATGCTGATACTTGGGTTGCATGCCATGCAGGCAAGGGGAGGATGGGATGCTGCATCGCTAGCTTGTCCCTCGCTTTGCTTCTGTACATGCTTAACCATCTGTCCCCTCTTCCCCATGACCCCAGTGGTCAACCCTTACTGATAGATCCACTGTTCCTCAACATGACTGTGAACCAAGTTCCTATTTCCACTTCACTTGTTTGCCAAGGGCATGCAGAATGGCAACTTTATTTGGAAAAGAGAAAAGCAAACACAACTGCAAATGTATGTACATCATTGTAGAAAAGCAACATTCTATAAAAAATAAACAAAAACATCCCACACTCCCTCCCAGGAATATCTGACAATTAACTCATTAAGTCCTGAGATCTTCCTTCCACAGCTACCTACTGATACTTGCCTGGCATGATCCCCAAAGAGTTGTACATTTTAACTCTATGTTTTAGCTACCCAGGCCTGAAGCAAGTTTAAGATGCCTCCCTATGTGGCTGGAACTCCAGGCTCTCTTTTTTTTTTAAAAGATGACCGGTAAGGGGATCTTAACCCTTGACTTGGTGTTGTCAGCACCACGCTCAGCCAGTGAGCGAACCGGCCATCCCTATGTGGGATCCGAACCCGGGGCCTTGGTGTTATCAGCACCGCACTCTCCTGAGTGAGCCACGGGCCGGCCCTCCAGGCTCTCTTTTTAATCACCATTGCAAGAAGCCCTAGCTCAGGTTGACTGAATTTTGGTGTTGGACCTAAAGAGAGCAGCTCATCACTCACAGCTCATTACCCAGCCAAGGGGAACAGTAGCCAGTAAACGTTTAATGGGCTGATGTGTGAAACTTGTCTTTCAAGCCTCAGCACTTGGGCTCCAGTCATTCCACAGACATATGCTTATCCATGAAGATACCCAAGGAAGCCCGGACAAGCCAGCAAGTTAAACAAGAATAAGGAAGTCTTCACAGCTATCCAGTGACTAATTCTATCTTTTCTGCGGCAAGACTTCCTTTGGGATTGTTTTAAATTGGCCTCTGTTTCCCCAGATGAAAGGAAAAAAGGCACATGTACTTTGGGGTTGTTCTAGGAAAGAAGCAACTCCAAAGAGCTCCCAGTACTCCTAAAAAGGAAGTCTGAACAAGACGAGCGTTGCTTCCAATATCCCTTTCCATTTTAAATCACTTTTTATAGTGATGAAAACACTTACAAGAAAAGCAGACACTGCCTACTGGATAATGCACGTTGTCAGAGGGAGTGCTCTAGGCTTTTAGAGGTAGACCATTGTGTGGTGTCTTCGTAGGCCCTTTGCCCAGGAAGGCTAACGTGGGGGCTGATCTATTACCTTTTCAAAACAAACCCCAAATCAAAACCAAAAGCCCAAAGTTTTCTCATATGTAGCTTTTCTTATTCTTTTCTTTTCTTTTTTTTTCCCGAACAAATTTTCACATTGTAAACAAAGAGTGTTCTATCTCGTATTTGAATTTTGCCTTTTTCTTCCTAGGGAACATAAAGGAGTTTCTGAGAACACCAAGAAAATTCCCATTTTTACTGCAGAAATAAAATTCTTGCCCTTATAGTCTTGCTGGCAAATGGTTAGAAAACAAGTTTATTTACAGGATTTCTGCTTTTCCATACCAACCCTAATGGGAAGTTCACATTCTTAAATTCCCAGTCAGCAACAAAATGCTCCCCTCCAATGTCTTCTCCATGACTTATCTCAGAAGTTTTGAGCCAATGATTAAAATGTACACTATTTACAAATGAAGCGTCCAAACTCTGTATTCCCGGCTATCCAATTAGCAGGGGACCCTTCTGAAGTGTTGTTATGTGCTGGGATTCAGAACTTGAACAAGTTGATAAAGTCCTGGGGTGAAAGTGAAACAGAGCAGCTCTCTGGGTTATTGGCGGTGCACGGATGGTCAGTGCCCTGCAAGGGAACATCATGGTTAGGTTCAAGTTCTCAGAGGCATCATGCTCGCTTGTGGCACCATAAGACATTGCCCAACTTCAAAACAACAGTTCTCTGTCAAGAATTCCACAGGTCTGCAAGAACTAAAGAGCTGTGAATTTGCATGAGCATGTGTGTGCACCTGTGCACACAGAGATAGGAGAATTTGGGAGTAGGTGGATTGCAGAAAAAAATAAACCTAAGAGGGTGAAGGAAATGGAGGTCTTTCTCTGTCCGTCCCCCTTGCCCGAGAACTAAATCAGTTTCACCCTGACCCTCAGCTGAGGGCTGCGAAAGGTTTTGGCCTCATGATGCGGGCACTGGTGGCTCTTAGGGGCTGGGCTAGGGGTCTGTGGCCACCACTTTGAGACACATACCTTCCAGGAAAGAATGTGACAGTGTTTGCAAAGCTGAAGGGTGTCTCCATACTGCTCTTTCCTTGGGTAACATCGAATAAGTTTAAAATACATCTTCTTCCAATCCAGCTGCCCTTTGTCTGACAAAATTAATCGCTTGCGGATCTAAAAAAAATTAAATGAATCAAAGAAGTTGCAGTAGAGTTCATCAAGAAGATGGTTTGTGGTTTTCTGGTTCTGAAACGTATTGCTCCCACCTTTTCCTTCTCCCCCACCTTTTAAAAATATCTACCCTACAATAGCCAGGGGAAAAACTGTCAAGATATAAAGAAATATCTTCTCAGCTCTCCCCAATTATTATTATTTATTTATTTATTTATTTTTCCTTTTTGTCTTTTTTCGTGTCCGGCAACGGATTGCAACCCTCAGTGTCGCGCCTGTACTGGACCGGGACCGGCAACGGGATCGCAACCCTCGGTGTAGCACCCGCACCTCGCTCACTCCCTCAGTGTCGCGCCTGTACTGGACCGGGACCGGCAACGGGATCGCAACCCTCGGTGTAGCGCCCGCACCTCGCTCACTGGGAACCGGTCTGTATGTGGGATCCAAACCCTCGGCAGGAGCACCACTGCGCTCCCAAGCGGCGCACTGTAGTCCACCGCGCTCCCAAGCGGCGCACTGTAGCAGTGCGCCACCGGGCCGGCCCAGCTCTCCCCAATTAAATAATAGCTTTTAACCAGTCTTTAAAAGAAACAGGTGGCTGGCCACATATTACTAGTGACTTTTACTAAATTGCATTCAGATGTTCCCTTACAGTTTAGGCAATCTCAATAAACAACTTCAATCTTTTCTTTGCCATAGACTTGAGTGATTATTGCAGGTAGATGCCATAACTGCCTGGCACTGTGGCTCTATTTTGTATCTAAATATTAGTGGCTTCATGAACAGAACTTGTTGAACTCACACATCTATATAAAGAAATTGGGAAAAAACCCAACAAACTGGAGGCAGCATGATGAGGGGGAACAGGGCTAGAGTTGGTGTCTGAAAGCCCAGATTCAAGTTCAAAACCAGTTTCTTCACCCTGAGAGCCACTTCACTAATTTGCATATGTCACAGCCATTTGTGGCGTTAGTCTCTTCATTTCTTCAAAGTTAGCACAATACCTACCCTTCTCTTACTTTAACTGTAAGGTATCATAAAAATGTAAGTTATTTTATTATAGAAAGAAAGAATAGGTGCCAATTTATAAATTTAAGTTGTAAAATGCGAGTATGTTAAGAATATAAGTTTTTTGTTTTTTTGTTTTTTTCCCCATGAAAACTACCTGGAAAAAAAAAAAATCCCAACTCACACACTCATCATACAGAAACTACTTAGACTGTTGTTTTCCAGTCAAACCAGGAAGCCCTGGCATTGGGGGGCACCCACACCTCCTGCTTGAAAAGGATGCCAAGAAAGCCTGGCAGGGGGCAGAGAAGGGAGGGCAGAGAGGAAGGCCCAGGGGCCCCACACACCTGCCGCTCCGAGAAGTGGTACTGGCAGAGTTTCTTCCACAGCAGCCGGTCCTCGCTGAGCACATGCAGGTCGGGGGCCGCCTGGCCCAGGCTGACCAGGTCCCGCCCGTCACTCAGCCTCTGCATGATATTCAGTTGTAGGCACAAAGGCAGGTCAGTGAAGGTGAGGCCTTTGAAGGCAGGCTGCAGAGAGAAGGATGACAATAGGTCGGGGGTCGGAGAGTAGCAGTTCAGCAGGCGACACCCTCCAAGGATGCAGCTGTCCCCTCGTCCTGCACCCTCAAGCCAGTTTATGATCAGAGGTCAAAAGCATTAATTCTCCCTACCCTAAATGCAGAAACAGGACCCAGGGCCAAGATTCACAAAGAAGTGGCTTAAGCTGAATGGTGCTAGAGAGATTTTCCTAAGTTTCACAAAGCTTCGTGCTTTCACTCTTAAAGATTCTCCCAGGAGCACATGCTGATTCCTGTGCTTCACTTGGTTCACTCAGTTACAAGATTTGCTGTGTATCCGAAGGCCTCACTGCCCCGGATGGAGTGCCTCTGCCTGCCACCCCAGCCTCCTATCCCACTGGCCCCCTCGTGACCTCAGATCACTCCAGGTGGGTTTCTCACTGGCACCTAAATACACCTGGCTCACTTGTCCGTGATGCCCTCCCCACCGACCCCAGTCCTCTCTGCCCGTCCAAATGCTGCCACTCCTCAGATCCAGTTCAAACCCGCTTCCTCTGAAAGGCCTCTGCATTTGTGACTCCTATAGGCCTTACTTGTCACTCCTTCCTACAATGCCTATGATCTCTTTCTGACACTTCTTGCAATACCACCCTTTTTCCTATGCAATGTAGCCCTTTTCCAAAAGAAACCTGAATGGAACATTTCTGCTAGAACTTAAGCTCCATGTAGGCAGGAATTTTTATCTTTTTTCATTGCTGTGTGCCAGTGTCTAGAAAAGTGCCCAGCACATAGTAGGCACTCCATAAATATCTGTGGAATGAATGAAACCCAAATAATTAAATAGGTAAACAACAACAATAATACAAAGACCCTACACTGGTGTGTATAGTGTGGTTATGTGTGTGTACGTGTGGTGTGTATAATGTGTGTATGTGTGTGGTGTGTGTTTATGTGTGGTGTGTATGTATATGTATGGTGTGTATGTGTGTACTGTGGTGTGTGTAATGTGTGTGTATGTATATGTGTATACATGTGTGTGTGGTGTGGTGTGTATGTATATGTATGGTGTGTATGTGTGTACAGTGGTGTGTGTAGGGTAATGTGTGTGTATGTATATGTGTGTATACGTGTGTGGTGTGTGTATATGTGTGTGTGGTATGGTGTGTGTGTGTGTGTAGTTTGTGTGTGGTGTGGGTATGTCTGTGTGTAGGGTATGTGGTGTGTGTAGTGTGTTTGCATGTGTGTGTATGGTATGTGTTGTGTGTGTGTGTTGTGTTGTATGTGTGTAGTGTGTGTGTGGTGTGGGTGTATATGTGTGTACTGTGGTGCGTGTAGTGTGGTGTGTGTACGCATGTGTGTACTCGTGTGTGTGGTGTGTGTGTGTGTGTGTAGTTTGTGTGTGGTGTGGGTATGTATGTGTGTAGGGTATGTGGTGTGTGTAGTGTGTGTGTATGGTATGTGGTGTGCGTTGTTGTGTTGTATGTGTGTAGTGTGTGTGGTGTGGGTGTGTATGTATGTAGGGTATGTGGTGTGTGTATGTGTGTAGTGTGTGTGCGTGTATGTGTGTTGTGTGTGTTGTGTGTGTGTATGGTATGTGCATGTGTGTGTTGTGTGTGTGTATGGTATGTGGTGTGTGTGTGTGTTGTGTTGTATGTGTGTAGTGTGTGTGTGGTGTGGGTGTATATGTGTGTACTGTGGTGCGTGTAGTGTGGTGTGTGTACGCGTGTGTGTACATGTGTGTGTGGTGTGTGTGTGTGTGTAGTTTGTGTGTGGTGTGGGTATGTATGTGTGTAGGGTATGTGGTGTGTGTAGTGTGTGTGTATGGTATGTGGTGTGCGTTGTTGTGTTGTATGTGTGTAGTGTGTGTGGTGTGGGTGTGTATGTATGTAGGGTATGTGGTGTGTGTATGTGTGTAGTGTGTGTGCGTGTATGTGTGGTGTGTGTGTTGTGTGTGTGTATGGTATGTGCATGTGTGTGTTGTGTGTGTGTATGGTATGTGGTGTGTGCGTGTGTTGTGTTGTGTTGTATGTGTGTAGTGTATGTGGTGTGGGTAGTGTGTGTGTGGTATGTGTGGTGTGTGTGTGTGTGTGTGTGTGTGTGTGTGTGTGTGTGTGTGTGTGTGGGATGGCTGGCCCAGACCCCTTTGGCCTAAGCTCCACCACCCATTGAGGCGTCTGTATTCAAACCCAGGGATCCACAGAACATTCTCCAGGAGGTTCTGCCACATCCCTGAATTTATATTTAAGCTCCTTATTGTTTTAAATTTTGGTGAGGCCATGATACCTCAGCCAGACCGACGTCGTTGAAGGCAGAGTGTAATTTTGTATCCCTTACAGACTAGCCCAGCACAACTTTTTGGAGTGCCTACATGGCCTGGTGCTGGAGTGGCTACCATGAGCTCTTTAGGCTGGTGAGAGACCCAGAAAAATAAGCAAGTAATCATAGAACATGGTAAGTGCTGTCACAGAGGGAAGCACAGAGTGCTGTGGGGACAGTCTGCACACAGGAGGTCCTCCATGATACTGGCTGATATGTCTTGAACAGCAACAGGGTGCTGCCATCTGGATAAGAAGTCAACTAACCATCTGGGACTGTGGTTCCTTGTCCTTCCCATGCTAGTTCTGAATGAGCTCTTGATTCTGGACAACTGACATTTTTAGCTTAATGTTGTTACCCCTGGGAGGTCGCAGGAAAAAAAAAAGGGGATGAAGAAACCAGCTCAGGGGAAAATATCCCGGGAATGGGTATCAATTTCCCTCCTCAAATCCTTAGGGAATTAAATTCTGTATGAAGCATATCAAAGCCCCCACACACAGGGGATTCCAGGGGGACACTGTCTCATCAATTTGCTCCCGTGTTTCCTGCACATCGTGGGATGGCGGGCAGTGTTGAGGGGTCCTGGGTAGGTTGGACTACTGAGAAAAACGGGAGGTGGCATGAGAAACACATCAGACAGACAAGCCGCAGATCGGGATCCCAGGGACCCTTGGGAAGTCTGGGTCCGTTTCCCCATGTCCAAAATGGATGGGTTGAGAAGGCTCCGAAGATCCCTTCCAGGTCTAACAATCTCAGACTCGGGCCACTTTAGCCTCTGATTTCATCAGAAATATCTATGACTCGACAATTTATATTTCTCAGTTCCACCTCAGGCTGCTGGGCTGACCTCTCAACCGTTTGTAAGATGCAGATCTTTGCCTGACCACAGAGGCCCTAGACCTATTTGTCATTTATCATCTGCTGCTGATCATATGAGCTAATAAAACTGCCATGAGATTTTCTTTTTGTTTCCAGCACTTCAAAGCCTCTACTTTTTTGGTTAAAACTCCCAGGCCAATTATTACATTAACTCCTATTAAAGGCAAGTCCACTTGGCAGAGTTCACTCTGTCAAATTTTCAAACCTGAACTTTTCCAAAATCCTTGCCCAGACCCCATGCTGAGCTCTTCCTTCTGATAAACAGTTAACTGCTTGCATGCCTTCTTTTCAAATGTAAACATGTAAAAGAAAAATAAGTCACTCTTGCTCGTCCAATCAAACATTTGGCTAAAGTCCATTTATGTCTATTGTGTCCACCCCTCACCCCCACATGCTTCCCACAGCACACTGTAATTATATTTGATTCCTCCCCCTACAAATTAGTTCTCTTATTTTTTTCCTTCATCCTTTATTATGTTAATTATTTTTGCCAATTAAAATTGGCTCTGTAAAACTAGATATGAAAATTTCAAAGGAAAGCAAGATTATATGCTAGGGAGATACTGCTAGAACTTTGGCAAATAGAAAACATTTACTATAAAAGTTCACCTTAATATTTTCATGTAATAACATACTTCTCTTTGGGCCAAACTGTTAAAGAGTAAGTTTTAAAATATAGTCCAGACTGAAGTAATTAAGTTCCCTCTCTCTGTTTCTCTCATCTCTTTCCTCTGGAGAGTTGGGCATTGGTGTGAAAAGCTCTTCAGGGCTCTGTGGGTTCCAGCACAGACAGCTCTCAGAATAATGTAGCTCAGAGCCAAGGAGGGTTGGGACAGAGGACATGAGGGAGAAGGGTGTCACGGTTAAAAGCTCAGCCTTTGCAGACAGGCCTGGGTTCAATCCCCTAGCCACATCCTACCAGTTGTGAGGCCCTGGCCAAATTATTCTCGACTACTCAGTCTGATTTTTCTCATTTATAAAATGAGGAAAAGCATATGTTACAGTGTCGCTGGGTAGAGCGGATATGAGATAACGCACAGAAGTACTTAGTGCAGTGCCCAATAAATATTAACTATTATAATGACTCCTACTTATAATTATCCACTAGATGAGTTAATTAATACACATAAAGGACAGAGAAGAGTGTCTGTGCAGAGAAAGCCCTTAATAATAACAACAGTCACCAAATTTATAATACTCTGCATCAGGCACTGTTCCAACTGCTTTCTATGGGTTAACATATGAAATCTTACACCAGGGCTATGAGGTAGGCATTACTGTCCCTATTTGCTAAATGAGGAAAGTGCGATATGGAGAGATTGGATAACTTGTCCCCAATCCTGGTCATCACGTCCATAATACAGGGCAATAGTTTCCAATTGTGTTCCTTTGAACGTTCAACACATATTTCAGGCAAGCGGTGGGAGGGGACTTCCCTTCAACCATTCCTTCGTTCAGCTAAAATTTACTGACTGCCTCCTGCTCTGTGCCAGGGACAGGGAAGAAGACGGGCAATGTCCTTTCTTGGATGGAGACAGAAAAGTGCATGCCCATGAGATAATTTCAGATCATAACAGCTGCTCTGAAGAAGGTGATGTGATAGTGGCTTCGATAGATCGGATGGTCAGGGAAGGCCGTGAGCTGAAAAGCCCCAAGGTAGGACCATGCTCAAAGGGTACAGAGAATAGCTTGGTTTGGCTGGAGCGCCTTGAGCAGAAGGGAGAATGAGATGAACTTCAGTGTTTGATCTCTTCTGCATGGGATTTCATTGGATTAAAAAGGTTTTTTAAAAAAAGTTAGACCATTGGATAAATAGTTGGAAGAAAGCTGGGTTGAAAAAAAGTTTGGAAACCACTGATGTTAAGCAAGCTTTGCCATTTTTGGAATAAGGAATCCAGGATTCTTGCCTCAGCTCTGGCCCTCATTGCTGTGTAATGCTGGGAAAGTCAGTGGGTTTCTCTGGTCTCCACCCCACGAAGGGTAATAGCAGCTACAATAGCTACCTCCCAAGAGTGTTTGGGGATCAATGAAGGGGAGCTCCAAGGAAGGGAGTCCAGGGAAGTTCAAGGTACGGGGCCAGCTGTGGCCAACGGGGCTCCTGAGAGGTGGGCAGAGGGAAGAGTCAAGCTCGGGGTAAGTGTGACCATCTAAATGGGGTTCCACAATTTCTGGAGGGAAGATGCTCTTGAGACAAATGGGACTTGCTCATTTATGACACTGGCTGGGTAATTTTTTTCTGGGCTTAGACAAAATGGTAAGTATTAAGTCCAGGTCACAGAGAATGCCAGAAATCAGACAGAAAGTGCAAGTGGGTTTTCTGTGAGAGATAAGCTAGGAATTTGGGTCTCAAATTCACATTGTCAAACTATGCCTACATCTGAGAGATGAGAATTAGGTAAATTACTAGAATGAGTCAGGTGAATGTTCATAATAAACACTCACGTTCTCTTAAAATAATCAAATAGTTGAGATAGTTTTGAAAGATGACCTGCACTTGTGCTCTGCTCTGTGCACGCGTGTGTGTCCGTGTGTGTGGGCATGTGAGTGTGGGTGCTGTAGCCCAAGTGGCTTGAAGGAAGTCACATAACTCCGAGGCTTCTAATTATTCCCTCTGTTTCAGAGCTTAAGGAACTAAGGCACAGAGAGGTCATTAGCAGTAAAGTCAAGGACATGCATTTTAAAAACTTCATAGGGTAAAATAGTTATTTAAAAGAGGTCAAAGAGGTTTCTTCGGGCTACCTCTCTCGATACGGGGCAGTCCCTTTATCAGCCCGGGCCCCGGAAACCACTGAAGACAGCCACGGTCAGTGATTAGATAAGTAAGCAACGTGCTACATGAGCCGCTCGAGTGTCTCTGTCCATTAGCGAGCCCCAAGAGATTATACCAGTATCCTTCCCACTTTTTTTGTGTTCCTTAGTCCTCCTGCTCACCATTAAGAGGACAAGAACTGAGAGCCAAGTTATGTTTTCAAAGCCAAAAGAAACTACTGATACAGACAGCCACGCTTCGCTGGTAACCCAGGGCTTTCCCCATCCCGCCACTTGCAGTGAGAATCACTGCCCATCTTCCTGCATGCATGTTCACCGTCTTTCATCAAAGGCTTCCTTTGTTATATAACTACCAAGAATCGAAACTAGAATTTTAAGATGCTCGTACCAGTTCTCCGAGCCACCGCCTTCACAGCTCTATTGTCTTCAAGGCAGCATCCTGAAGCTGCAAACAACCCATTTTTTTAAATGAGGAAACGGGCAAAGAGAGATCTCTGAACCCCACCAAAGATTTCAGCAGGATCGCCAGCATCTCCCCACAAGGCAGGTTTCCCAGTTTTCCCACGATGCTTCAGTGGGCTGTCACCTTTCACATTACTTTGCTCTTGTTTTGCCAAGTTCTCCCCACCCTTCCTTTATCAGGAAGTTTCCCAGCCCACCCTCAGCACCGGGATCAAGCATGACATCAGAACAGACCAGACTCTCTCACCACTAGGGTGGATGTAAAGTCCTGGTGAGGCCATCTAGCGTCTCTGCAGAGCAAACAATGGCTGGGATGGGGCTGGGGAGTTCCTGCTTACCCTGGTAATCTGGATGTTGTTCAGCTGCTGCTGCCAGTGTAGAATTGTCTCCATTCGATATACCCACATGTTAATGTTCCCGACTAACACAGACTTGCCGACTCTTTGGACCAGTGTACACAGGGACGTGTAGAGGGTCTGGAGTAGTTCCCTTATTAGTCTAATGTTTTGCTGGTCTTCAAGGACTTGAGTGGGGAAGAAAAAAACAATCAGAGTTATGATACCGAAACACCCTGTCTTTTATAAGTGGGCTTTTCTTCTCCGTTTTGCTCATGTTACCCGGGCACTGCCTCTGGGGACATGGTTTTCTTTCTTGCCAGTGTTTACTCTACACTTGGCCCAACTCCTGCACTTGAGGTTAACAGGTAGAATTTCCACTATGTAGGTCCCCCTTTGTTCTCTTCCTTTGTTTTCTATAAAGCCCCTTTCTTTTTCATGGTCCCACCAGCACCAATGGCTCGCCTGATCAGAAAGCCATTTCTTTTGCCCAGCAGTGACATCCCTTTTAGATAGTCATGGAAAGAGCAGTTCCCAGGGTTAGGATCTTGGGTTCTAATCCTGTCTATCTGGCTTTCTGTGTGATTATGGACAAATCACTTCTCATGACCCTTAGTTTCCTCATGTGTACAGTGAGTCAGTTGAACCAGATACCTAAGGTGACTTCCAGTTCAAATAGTCGATGAATCTATTCTCCTTTGAACACAGCTTAATTTTCAAGGAATCTGGAGTCTCAGTAGCCAAGGTTGGGACAAGTGTCTACATTGAGGAGCTTATAGTGGGGCACACGCACGATCCCAAAGAAAGGACAGGAGGGTGATGGTCTTGTCCTTTGCCATGGGCATGAGGTACACCCCTTTCTGAAAAGGAATCTGGCACCTTTGAAATGCAGGTGGAGTTATTCATTTCCGTCCACTCCCATTCCTTTAAATCTAATGAGATGTCCACTCTATTGGAAAATCCATCTGTGCATCCCCATGCCTATAAAAAGGGGTGAGAAACAGCTCACCTTTCAGTACTACTTTTTCCAAAATGTTCATGAAGTTCTTTTGGGCGATGCCACTCAGGGATGTGAGCTGTGACTTTGCTATCAGTTCCAACAGCTGTGGATAAAAATAGAAGTTGCCAGGCTCAGAATACAGAGATATTTTTCTCCTCTAATCTTCACTTTTGAGTCACATGACACATAGATACAGACTGACGGGGAAAGAGAAATGGCAGGCAGGGCCACAGTGCAATAAAAAGCAGATGCTCAAAGCAAAAGACAAATGGGGCTAATCCAAAACCCAGGAATCAGGCTGAATATTTCATTGCTTTTTCTCTTTTAAATATAGAGAGTTTTGGCTTCAGCCAGGACTAATCCAATCTACTTGTCCTACTTGGGCAAGTGAAACTGAAGGGAACAAAACCTCCTGTGACCTGTGAATGTCTGGGTTCTGCATAACCACCCCCCATGGGAATTCTTCTGCCCCCACTTGAACTTCTCCCCCGCCCCCGGCACTGACTGCTCTCAAGGCACCTACAGCTCATGTTCACAACCACGTGCACTTTCTGAACAAGTGATGATTCTCATCCACATATCTCCTGCTTATGCAACATTCAATAAAGATGTCTATTAATTGGATTCTCTCATTGCACTTAACTTTCTGATGCCAATCACAAGAAGAGAAAGAAACTCAGGGATGTGTGGTATATTCACTTAACTCTACTTAGAGGCAGTGATGTCTCTGTGGCTAAGAACTAGGATCCTTGTAGCTCTTAGTCTGGGGTTCAGGTCTTGATTTGGCCACTTAGCTCTGTGATTATGAGCAAGTTACTACATTTTTTTGGTACCCCAGTTTCTTCATCTTTACCAACAGCCTTTAGAGTAGACAAGATTGTTCTGAGCTTTAAATGAGAGAATGCACGTAAGGCCCTTTGCATTGTGCCTGGCACAAATCAGGTGCCACATAAAGGCTGGTTTGTTTTTTGAAGGGGTATGGCCCATTCCTACAACCCCCATTAGGGCCAAAAAAAAAAAAAAAAAAAAAGTAACTGAAGCTGGTATTCTTAGTCTAATCTTTCTTTCCTTCTACAGCAAAATTCTTTACAGATGTGGCAAGATTTAAAAAGCAAATCAAAAATTCTATTGCTGAAAAAGAAACTTTGGACTGGAAAGGGTATTAGACATAATCTAGTTTAACCTGCTTAACCAATGAGCAAAGTGAGGCTCGAGAGACTAACCTGTACAAACCCCTCCACAACCAGTGACAGGACTCAGCAGAGTCCTTCTCAACACAGGGAAACGAAAGGGCACGCTTCATGCTTTCAAAGAGTTACCAAACAAAGAGGTTGATAGAAAGTGAAAATAGTTAATTTCATCAGAACCTACCAGGTGCCCAAGTAAAACTAACTAGACTTAGTAAAGTAGACTTAGCAAACCAAGACCCTTCCTTTATGTGAAATCTGGAATCTCTGCTCCTAGGAGACTTTTTTCTTTTTTTAAAGATGACCAAGGGGATCTTAACCCTTGACTAGGTGTTATCAGCACCACGCTCTCCCGAGTGAGCCACAGGCCAGCCCTTTCTAGGAGACTTTTTAAGAGAGTTTCATCTCCTAGCCAGGCCCTGGCCCAACTTCATTTCAGGTTAATAAATACTGAGTATGACACTGTGTTGGGCGCTGGAATCAAGGCTGAGTGAAGAGGCAAGTGAAATATTAAAACCTGTGTTGCAGAGGAGAACTGAAACTTTTGGACCAATGCCCCAGGCAATTCAGGGCACCTCTGCTTCCAAGGCATTTACTTAAAAATTTTGTCCCTGTGGAGCTCTTTAGGAGCCTGTCAAACCACACACAGACTTTTAATTTCCTGAACATAATTTTACTTTAAATTGAGGGAAAATAAAAAGAATCCCTGAAACCAAAACCCCTTTTCTGCCTGGCTTTATGTATCTTTCACACACGCAGGGACAGATGCGGCCACCTGACTGGGAGGAGGCGGTGAGGCTGGTTTGTTTCAATTAGCACTGGGGATCCGAGGTTGGAAGTTAGGAGCTGACTGAGTGTCTGCAAAGAGAGGTGAGAAATCAAAACACCAGTAGAGGCCACGTCCATGGTTGCTGACCACACCGAATGCTCTCTACTTGTCTGGTTTAGCTCTGCCACCAACCAGCATGTGACAGTCAAGAGAGGAATGAAAATGGCACAAAGGGACTGGCTAAACTTTTCATTTATCTCCCTGACCAACAGCAAGATTCAGAAGGCTGGGCTGCTGGTCTATTAATACCCTGAGCCTCACATGCCCAGCACAAAGCAAGATGAAAGAAAACAAAAGCGGTAGGCTGTGCACTGTGACTCATCATTGGGTGGGAGGTGGGTCAAGGGGGTAGGAGGAGGGCAGGCAGAGCTGTGCCTGAAATCCATCCAAAACCCGGGTTCCATGTGACCACCATTTCACGAGGGTGTCAGTTTTAATCTTGTCTAAAAATGCACCAATCACAAGGACAAGAAAACTTTCAAGGCTGTGACTGTGCATTTGAGGGGAAACAAAATGCCTTTGGTCTGGCTGACATGATCCTCTTTGATTTAGGAGGAGGAGGAGGAATAGAGCAGCAAAAATTTGTCAACCGATGGCAGAATGACATGTCAATTATACTATGTTTCATCCTGTCTTAAGAGAAAGTCCCCTTTTTCCCTGCCAGGCAGCTGGGGAGTCAGGAGAGAGAACCCTGGAATAGGAGAAGACCTGGATTCCCTAGTTGGGTGACCTTTACAACTGTCACTCATTTAGCAAGTATTTTCTGAGTGTCCACTCTGTCCTAGCATTGTGGTAGGTGACAGGGATATGACGATAAAGACACAAGATCCCCAGACTCATGGAGTTTACTGTCTAATCTAGGGTGTAAGTCATTTAATCTTTCCAAACCCCAGTTTCTTCACTTCTAAAATGGAAATAAAAAGACTACCTACTTCACAGGATTGTTATGAGAAATAAGTGAGAGAAATATATAAAAATCCACTGTAAACACCAAATATAAGCCATTCTTATGATAAGGTATTATTTCTTCCCCTTCCAAACCCCAGTCTTTTAGTGAAATTTAAAGTTGACATCAGGGGTTGGCAAACTTTCTCTGTAAAGGGCCAGATTGTAAATGTTTTAATGTTTGTGGGTCATAGAGGCTCTGCAGCAAGTGCTCAGCCCTGCTGTTATAGAGCAAAAGTAGCCACAGACAATCTGTAAATGAATGGGCATGGGTGTATTCTAATAAAGTGGTATTTACAAAAGAAGGGGGAGGGCCAGATTTGGCCCCCAGGCCATAGTTTGGGAACTTTTGGTATATATCAGAGTTTAAGAGTGAGGGCTTCAGGGTCAAACTGCCTGCTTCAGTTTCCCATGGGTCAAATATGCATAATAATTGTACCTACTTCAGAGTTGCTGTGAAGATGAAATGTGTTCATAAAGCACTCATACCAGTGCCTGGTACAAAGAATTATATTCAATAAATCATTATCATTAGCTTTTATCATAATACAGAGAGCATTACTAGTTAAAATTATTACGAGGGAGGAAAGAGTGAATTAACAGGGTGAAGTACAGCTAGTTTAAAGACTTTCAGAATCCCTGTACTTCAATTGTATGTGTTGTCAACCGAATGCTTAAATGCTTTCAAATTTTAGTATTCCTTTCTGTCATTTTTATTATGTTTGTGATATATTTAATAGCTCTCTATCAGTGGATAAAAGGTGATGTTGACACATTTCATGACATGCAGAGTTGCATCTACCATGAAACCTTATGTTGCTGACAACGTGCCAGTGACTGTGCTAAGCACTTCACGTGCATAATCTTGTTTAATCTTCAATGGCAATCTCATGAGCTAGGCCCCCCATTTGATAAATGAGGATTCGGAGGCCCAGAGAAGTTAAGTCTCACCTAAAGACACCAGAAGTAGCAAATGATGGATCCATGACTTGAGTCCAGATGTGAGGAACACGTATTTTGATACCTTAAGGACTTCAATTTGTCAAGGCTAATCAACTTTGCATCTAAGGCCAAATTTGACTCAAAAAATAGTAGCAATACGATGTATTGCTATGTTCTGGGGAAATAGAATCTGGAAATTTTATGCAATATTATGATGTGACTTGTAGTCAGCTTTTAACATTAAGGGAGAAACAATACCCAGAAAGTGTTAACAACACATTTGGGATGTGTCAATTGCTTTGGGTAAACCATGAAGTTTTCTTCCCTATTGCATAACTCTACAGGCACAGAACTACTAGGTAGTGTTGGGTGGAACTAGTAGGAAAGAGGACAGAATTTGTTAATTTTACTTCTGTGTGAAGAGAGCTGTGTGCCTAGGGGCGTAGGTTTGTATCTAGCAATTTTTTATGGATTCTTTGCCCCTAGTCACAAGAGGAAAGAGTGCAGAAGAAGATGTCTTCTTTGGAAGTGGCTGTTTATTTTCTACTGGGCAAATTTTAGCTGAAGTGCCAGTGACTTGTGGCTGTGTTTAAGGAGGGGCAGGAGGGAGGAGGCAAAGAAGGAGGGGTTCTCAGTTCCTCCAGAATTCCATGGTGTCATTACTCTGTGGGCAGTGTGGGCACCTGGCATAATCTGTGTGACAAATTGGGCACTGACAGCAGTGGTTCTGAGCTACTGGAGGAAGAGACGGTGGTCACTGCATGCTGGAACCACATCCTGCCCTTTAGCTTTAGCTCGTGCTTGTTTTGAAGACAATGAGCAGGAGAAAAATCGAGTTGCAAGCAATGCCATATAGCAAATCTCAGAGCGAGCATCAACCAGTTTGAGGTGGTGTGTGCAAGATGAATGGGCAGAAGTGATTCCCTCTGCCCTCACTTCACTTGCATAAAAAGCAGGTTTCTTATTTTCTCTTCCCTTCAGTTCATGCTAGCACAGCATTCATAGTTTTAAAAATACATCAGTTCACGTCACTGCTAAATCCTCCAGCGGTTTTCCTTTGCACTTAGGAAAAAGCCCAGACTCCTTACCATGACTGGCAAGGCTCTCCCTGATCTGGTCCCTGCTCCTTTTCCAGCTTCATTTTGCACAGTGTTTCCCAAACTTATTCTGCTCTGGCTACACAGCCCGATTTTTATTCCG